TCTGAAACACAGAATACTATTAAAATAATAATTTTGTTATTTAGTCTAGTGAAGAAGTAACCACTTTAATAGGACATGAAACTGGTAATTAATAATTTAAACCATCTGCCAAAGCAGTGATTAATCCCACTTATCACAGATACTTGTGTGTAAATAAATGAATACTTCTGGTTTATATGATTTAGACTTTTCGGTTCCTTAAGCAAGACCTTTTTCTCTATAAGTAGTCTCTTGCTGACCTATTATAAATTTTAAATAAGACAAGCTGCAATTATGATTAGTTTATTAAGTTACCAAAATAGACCTGGTTTATGTAGCTAGATTTATAAATCAGAAAATCGGAACTGCCATGTTTGAAAAACAATTGTAGACCACTGAAAAAATATATATAAATTTTGCAAATTACTTGTTCTGCTATATTTTATGTTGGTTACTACATCCATATTTTAAAATGAGTTGGGGTCAATTATACATTATAAATGATCTAGAGAAAGTGAAGAGATTAAAAAAATTATCAAAGTGACTAATGGAACAGAAAATGATTTCCGTTAAAGCCAAAGAAATGGATGCTGTTTTATATAGCAAAAAAACTCCCTAAGGGCCACATTCATTATTGTCTCAAGTAACAATAGTTTGCTTAGCATCTATCACTATGTAAAGAGAAGCCAAACCAAACCAGGAGAAACAGGGTTAATTCTCACAGAAAAGATCCTAACTGGCTAAACTGTGGGACCATAATGGGATAAAACATTAGAGTGGTTTTTTTGAGGAGAGTGTCTCTCTCCTATCTAGAAACTGTCAAGGAGAAATAAAACAAACAAAAACTTTATGCATCTAGAACAGTTAAAAAAAATGTACTCACCTAAAAGCAAAAGGAAGACAAAACTGGATCTCAAAATCCATTACAGATTTATGATTCTAGAATTGTAGCAGTCAACATTTAAATTAATTGTTCATAAAAACTGACATGAGTAAACAATACATATCTCTCTGCCTGAGGTAATTTTTTCCCGAGTAATGAGATTAATATAATAACACTGTATGTTAACTATACTAGAATTTAAAATTTAATTAAAAAACAAACCTTGTCCCAAAACATATACCTTAATTAACATGATTTTTAAAAACCTCTCAACCTTAATCTATGTAATTATGAAGTCATTTAAGATTTTAGAAATTTAAAAAGCAGACATAGGGACTTCCAGGTAGCTGAAGATAAAAGCAGATGTCTAATTCTGTGCTATCCATATGTCCTGCAAAATAATACGGAAAAGCAAAGAGAACAAATAAAGCCACACGAAACCACCTTCTTTCCATAAGTAGAAGACAAAATGCCCACACAGTGGGTATGGGCTTACTCCATATAAATGAACTTAACTCATACATTAAAATAAAAATATCTCTAAAGGGCTCTACAGCAAGACACGACTATTTGCTACACATACAAGACACATTTTAAAACACAGAATGATTCAGAAAGAGTAAAAATAAGGGGATGAATAAACGCACACCAGAAAACAGGAGTAATGATATCAATGCAGAATCCAAGCAAATGACATTAAATGACAAAAAAGGCCCTTTTAAGTGCTAAAACCACAATTCACAATTAAGAAGTAACTATTATAATTATCTATATGCCAAATAATACAACTATCATTGCGAAGAAAACCACAAGAAATGCAAGGACTAACAGAAACATCATAATCATCATCATCATGACTTACTCTTTTAATTGAACACTTTCTTTTCTAATCCTTATGTAGCAGTAACAAAAACCAATGATGTAATACAGGTACAAAGAGAAGTGTAAAATTTAAGATTCACTTTAGAGCTTCTGCATGTTCATTACTGACATAGAAGAGTGTCTTCCTTATTTTTTTACCCTGGTATCTTACTTGCTTAACCCTACTCCTGTCCTAAATTATTAATTAGATACCAGTCTCTTATCCTCATTAAAGTGGTTTCTTCCTCAATAGACTAAATAACAAAATTATTTTCTAATAGTATTCTGTGTTTCAGGAGGCTGCCCCACCCTTACAATGAGCTTATAAAATTCATAGTTACCTATAAATTAAAAACATGGAAAATTATTTAGAATTTTAAATATTTTAAAAGGATTTTAAATATTTTAAAAGGATTTTAAATTTTTTTAAAAAAATTCTTGTTGGTCACAAAAAGATATTAGTGCATTCCATAAAGTAGAAATAATAGAAACAATACTCTCTGATTACAATGCAATAAAACTAGAAACTGGGGATCCCTGGGTGACTCAGCGGTTTAGCACCTGCCTTCAGCCCAGGGCATGATCCTAGAGTCCCTGGATTGAGTCCCACATCGGGCTCCCTGCATGGAGCCTGCTTATCCCTCTGCCAGTGTCTCTCCCTCTCTCTTTCTGTGTCTCTCATGAATAAATAAAATCTTTTAAAAATAATAAAAAAATAAAACTAGAAATTAACAAAATAAAAACAAAGCCCTCCTACCTGGAAACTGAAAAACCTGTTATGGACTGAGCTGTGTCTCCCCATAATTCACATGTTAGTCTCAACCACAGTCTTTTAGAATGTGACTGTATTTGGAGACAGGACTTTAAAGAGGTAACTAAGGTTAAATGAGGCTATCTGGGTAGGTCCTAATTGGTATGACTGGCATTTTCATAAGAAGGAAAGGTACTAGAGACACACCCACACGGAGGAAAGACTGTGTGAAGGCAGAGCAAGGAAGTAACCATCTTTAAGCCAACAAAAGAGGCCTTGGGAGAAACTAAATCTACCAACATCTTGAGATCTCAAACTTCTAGCGACTAGAACTATTAGAAAATAAATGTCTACTGTTTAAACTATCCTGACTGTAGTACTTTATTATGACAGCCCTAGCAAACACAATTAATTTCAGCTTAATTAAAACACTACAGAATATACTTTATATACTTAGAGATAAATCTTATACTAGAAACTTGACCAATAAAAATGGAAGAATGAACACTTGTTCAGTTAAATTCCCAACTCAAAATATAACAACAACAACAAAAAAGAACAAAGTAAACTAAAAGCATAAGGCATACAACATGATCTTAGAAAAACTCTAAAAATCTACAAAGCAGCTAGTAGAAAATGACTTTAGTAAGGTCACAGGTTTCCAGGTCATTACATAAAAGTCCACTAAGTATATTTCCATATGCCAGCAATGAATTAGAAAGCGAATTTTTTTTAAAAACCACTCCCATTTATAATCACATAAAAATGCTAGAAATAAAACATAACACAAGATAAGCATGATATATTCAATGAAAACTACAAAACTCTGGTAACAGAAATTTAAGATGACCTAATTAAATGAAAAGATATGCCATATTCATGGAATGGATAGGCTCAATATTGAGATGACAACTCTCCTCAAATAGAGCTGCAGATTCATAGCAATCCCAATCAAAATCCTAACAAGTCTTTTTGAAAAAGGTGACAGGCTGATTTTAAAATTTATGTGGAAAGGCAAAGGACCCAGAAGAACCAAAACAATCTTTACAAGAAAGAACAAGGTAGACAGGACTTGCACTACCTGCATCAAACTTCCTATAAAGCCACAGTGGTCAAGACAGTGTGATATTCATGTCAAGATGGACAAAAAGATCACTGCAATAAGAGGGAGTCCAGAAACAGATACACTTAAATGGTCAACTGATTTTCAAAATAAATGTACCAAAATAACTCAATGGGAGGAAAAGACGGTCTTCAACAAATAATACTGGAACAACTGGATACCTAATTGGAAATAAAAAACAAATGTCTACTATCCTCTCACACTACATGAATTGGATCATAAAACCTAAGTGTAAGAAATAAAATATTAATCTTTTAGAAGGAAACAAAAGAGAAATCTTTGTGACATAAGATTAGGCGAAGTTTAAACAGAACACTCAAGAGGGGTGCCTGGAGGGTTCAATCAGTAGAACATGCAACTCTTGACCTAAGGGAGGTAATTTCAAGTCCCATGTGGGGCATAAAGATCACTTAAATAAGTTATTGGAAAAAAAAAAAAAAGAACACATAAACACATACTAGAAAAGAAAAAAATGATAAAATGGACTTCATCAGAATAAATTTTACTTTCAATAGACACAATTAAAATAAAGCAATCCACAGACTGGGAGAATCTATCTGTTAAACACGTATCTGACAAAGGACTTATATGCAAAATAAAGATCTGTTACAACTCAGTATGAAGATAACTTCCCAGTTTTAAATATGGACAAAATATTTGGACAAATACTTCCAAAAACCACATTATAAGATACTAAACATCATTAGCCATTGGGGAAAATCAAATTAATACCATAATGATATATTACTACACATCTACTGAAGTTAAAAAACCTGACAATAACAAGTGTCAGTCAAGATGTGTGAAACAAATGGAACTGTCATAGGGGAACTCTCATACATTGCTACAAGGAATGAAAAACAGCATAACCACTTTGTAAAGCAGTATTGCTACAGATGTTACAAAGCAGTAATGCTGTATGTCACCACTCAGCAAAGTCAAGGGGACAAATAACATACCTCCTAATACAATGCACTGAGGACACATGACTGACTTTGGTGTTATTTTTGCTAAAAATATATAACCTGAATTTAATCATCAAGAATTTAAGACAAACTCAAATTGAGGGATAATCTACAAAATAACTGGTCAGCACTCTTCAAGTGAAGACAACGTGTGATTGTGGATTGGATCTTGGGCCAGAAAAAGGATATCAGTAGGACAACTGGTAAAATTTGAATAAAGTCTATAGGTTTGATAACAGTATTTATTTCCTGATTATATTAATGTTAATACCTTAGCTTTGATTATTGTAATATGGTTATGTAAGATGTCAATCTTTAGAGATCTTGGTGATGATCATATGGGAATTCTCTGTATAACTTTTACAATGTTTTGTTAGCTCTAAAATTATTTCAAAATGAAGTTTAAAATATATATACATATACATATACATATATAACCTAATACTCTGAAGTTCCCTTCTGGCCAACTCTTCTGCCATCTGTGAAGCCCGCAATTTCTCTTCACACTGTTCCTTTTCAGATTGCCTCCAGACATCACGTTCCACTTTCATTTTCTCTAAATCCGCTAATCTGTTCTCAAGTTCTATCCTAAAACAACAGATGATAATTATAAGAACTACAATGAGGATGATAAGACAGCAAAATGTTTTCATTTGCAAGGAGATTGAACACAAAATAAGGTAATTAAGTACTTACTTTTCATCTTGTAATACCACAAGTTTTTGATAACCTTCTTCCTTGGCAGCTTGTACCTTACGTATTAATTCACGATCTTTTTCTACTAGGAGAGCTTTGTGGTGTTCAACAGCTGACTTGAGAATTTCATTGTCTGACTGTAATCCTAGTTTTTTTTTTCAAGGAAAAAGATATGCTGTATTCAATGTTATTAAGCTGAAAATTCATAACAGCAAGCATCCATAAACTGGTAAGACAACTAAGAGTGTAGAAAGTCTGGATATATATTCTCAAAGATCTTTATGTTATTGATAAACCTTTTAAGAATGAAACAGATTAAAACTCAACGTTAACTATTCTGTCATTTTATTTAACATACATATTCAAATGCTTTAATAAAAGACTATATACATTTACTCACTTGACTCTTGAGAGCTGAGGATATCAACCTAAGTGATATCCAAAGAGATATACTTCACTTCTAAAAGGGTTCTGTAACCTTAGCCCCATAGACAGCATCATCATAAAGCTAGCTGGAAGGAAAGTGAATAAAATCACAGAATCCTTCAAACCCTATCATTCTAGCAGAACTGTCAGATTTCTGATAGAAATATAAATTGGAAACTTTCAAGTTTATCCAATCAATTCATAAATTTTCTTTATAGTGATATGGCAAGTATTTTACAGATGAAATAAATAAAATAAATTCATATCTAACATAAAACTTAAAAAAAAAACGCAGAGCAAGATCACAAACTCTTTAAGTCCCTTGAAAAGTTATTCCCTAACTATAGAAATTCATGAAATCAACATCAAGTAGAAATTAATGATGAAAACACTAATTTATCATAAGCTCTGACAGAAACTACAGAGGCCAGTTCAACTAGAGATCAGCTTGAGGACAGTTACAGGCCAAAGGTAGCTTATTTAAAGACCTTTTAAGAAAAGTCAGAAATAAAAGAATTCTGAGGAATCTTGATGAGGACATTCTAAGACTAAACTGGAGCTTAAAAATAAACTAGGTTTGGGGCGCCTGGGTGGCTCAGTCAGTGAAACATCTACTTTCAGCTTAGGTCATGAGCCCTGCATCAGGCTCCCTGCTCAGTGGGAAGTTTGCTTCTTCCTCTCCCTCAACTGCTCCCACTGCTTGTGCTGTCAAATAAATAAATAAAATCTTTAAAAAAAAATAAAATAAACTAGGCTCAGTAACTAGTCTAGTGTCTACATAAAAAACAAAAATTGGGCCTGGGACTCACCTATCTTCCTTACATTCTTTAGACTTAAAATGGTCTGGGACTAATAATCACATGATAAACAGATTCAAAACTATAAACCCGGCAGCCTGGATGGCTCAGCGGTTTAGCGCCACCTTCAGCCCAGGGCCTGATCCTGGAGACCTGGGATTGAGTCCCACGTCAGGCTCCCTGCCTGGAGCCTGCTTCTCCCTCTGCCTGTGTCTCAGCCTCTCTCTCTCTCTCTCTCTGTGTGTGTCTCTCATGAATAAATAAATTAAAAATCTTTAAAAACAAAACTATAAACCCAGAAATATGGAATCCCATTTGTAAAATTTCATTTATGTATTAATAATAACTGACATAAACATAAGATTGGTTTTTCTAAAAGCTACCTCAGAAAATGAACATTCAACGTAAATAAAAAACAATCCATATATGCTCTAAGATTAAAACTCAGGCTGAAAATCTGGAAATAAAAATTCAGTTTGATATATTTTAATAATTTTATGTGTAAAAATAATAGTAAAAAGCATGGGAAATCATATATTACCATCCAGTTCACTTTGAATCTTATTTCTTTCTCTTTCTAGCTCACTCTTAGCTCTTGCTGCCTCCAGTTTGATGTCTGTTATTTCTAGTTTGTTTGAATGTTTAAGTTCTTTCACCTGTTGATAATTAGAAATTGAAATTACTATAGGTCATTTTCTTGCAACTAACTGCTTACCCCAAAACATCAGTAGAAATGAGAAAACATTTTGGTAGCAGAGTACACAGTGTAAGTACCTTGCATGAGGGAAGGTGCTTCAGTGCCTGGAACAGTATTTGGTACCAAGAAAACAGCCTTTTCCTCACAGAATTATTTCTTTACAAATATCTGGCTAGGGTCCTCTGGCTTAATCTTGCCTTAAAAGGCTTAACTGCAAGTACCTAAAATCCAATAGTCAATGACTGACTCATCTTCAGAGAAAAAAAACCCTGAAACCTCCCTTTGAAAAAAGTGGTGACAAGAAGCCATTCTAGGTATAAGGAACAGCACACAAAATGTTATAATGGTATAACGTCACACACAGTATGCTTGGAAAACAGTGAGCAATGTGTTAGTGCAAAGGATGGCATGAAAGCTGTGGAGTGGCAAGGAATAAACTTTATATGCCGTACAAAAGGGCTGTGTATCCTATTAGCTACTGAAGGTGACACAATCAACTGTGTTTCAGAAAAGTAACTCTAATTGCAAATTAAGATTAAGAAACTGAAGGTAAAGACACCAATTAAGAGGCAGAGGATTGACAAAGCAGGCAAGAAGGAAGAATCAATTAAATTTGGGGTGTGTGTGTGTGTGTGTGTGTGTGTGTGTGGTGGTGGTGGTAGTGGGAAGAATGAGTATAAAACATAAATCTAATTTAAACTTTTACTGCCCAAACCTGATTCTTTTAAACTGCTGGGTGACTGGCAATAACTGTCAATATTTCCCATATAATTAACCAATCACATACCAAATTTTAGTTTTCTCTGAGACATCCCTTTTGAAAGTGGAATGATTCTAGTTCATAGTAGTATTCATTCATTCAATAAATATTTATTGAGCCCCTGTTATATGCCCTAGCACTGTTTTAAGAGATGGGGTCACAGAAGCAAAAAAGAAAGCTTTCCCTCTCCAGTTATCCACACCATTCTCTAATATTTTCCATATCCTTTCCCTTTGGGAAGATGCTTCTAAAGCTAGTCCTATACTTAATCCCATAATGATTTAACCAATGCAGACATAAAAATTAGATGAATCTGTACTGACATACTAATGCATAAAACTATGAAATCAGAGTAGAAAACCACAAACATATACAAGTCAAATATGTAAAATGTAAGATGGTAGGAACAAGAGGGTAAAGGATAATATACTAGAGTGGAATAGAAATCTATAAAACTGAAGATGGGAGAAACAAATGAGAAAGAGCTCCTACAGCCAAAGAGGAGAAGGACAAGAAACAGAAGTGTCTTACCAAAAGAGGTTCCATCTACAAAAGGTCTTAAAAACATTGTATGGAATGGTTTGGTCAAAATCCTCACTTTAAAAAAAAAAAAAAAAACAACAGAAAAGCAAGCACCATGCTGCCTTTGTACTACTAACTACATTTAAGATGTGTGCTTTGCTTCCAAAAAACTAGATTTTTAAATGACATTACATAAAGTGAATACCTTGTGTTGACATCAGGCTTGCAGTTTTAAACATTTCTAAAGTTCTTTTCTATGAAAGCAAGTCTCACAGAACAACGTTTAAGTACATGAAAGCAACTAAGAAATTCTATTTTCACAATTTAAACTTCCTATGAATTGGGTTTACTACATTATAATTTCATGGACAGAATTTAAACTATAAATGTTTTTAAAATTTTGAAGAAATACAACTACAATGAAAATCCAATTTCTACAACAAGTGAAATTATAAGCTATTATATAACCTGCTGTAAAAGGTTAAGAATGACATAGTAGTTAATTAACAAACCACACCGTAGCTTCTTTAAATATGAGGTGGAAATTTGCAGCCATCTTACTTTGCAAAAACTGGATTCATTTCAGTTCAATAAGAACTATGAAATATATACAAACCTATTTCTTAACTCATTTCACCCTGAGAAAAATATTTTTCAACTAAACTATAATTATTGAAACTGAAAGAACAGTAGACAGGAAGTCAAACAAGTAAATTCTGTCTTCAGGCCTACTTTTATTATAAAACCAGTGGTATATCCTCAAGCAAAGTATTTGTCCTCACTGCATTCGAATTTACTCATCTATGGACCTATAAGAGTTGCAGTTCCTTTAGCACCACACTTCTATCATCCTAAAATAATGAATGCACTTACACTAATAGTAATTGTTAACTTCATAAAATGTTGGTAAAGGAATTATTAGAAATGAAAAACTTACATGAATATTTATTACTTAGCTAGAACAAACAGTAGGCATCTGAACCAAATCCCAACTAGTCACAATAAACTTTTCTGACTGTAGATCCCTGGTTCTTCACCTTCTTTGTGATCAGGCCTCAAAAGTCCTAGGAAACTAGAGATCTTTTCCTAAACAAAATGTATAATGTTAAAATGTTAAAATAATTTCAAGAGATTCAGGGTCTTTTGAAGCTCCCCTGGGCCGAGGTACTCTGTTTTACTTTTGTTTTTATCACAATGCATTTTCCATTCTGGCCTTCATGTTGCCAGTTTGCTTTATGCTTTTGACATAACAGAAACCAAGTATTTAGAAAGTACTACTCACTACTAACTTTAAGAATAATAAAAAATGGCAATAGTAGGCATTTTACAAGAGTTCAGAAGCTGCTAAATTACACATATACATATAGACGTGTAAGAAAACAATATAACTAAGCAAGAAAGAGTGGAAAAAACTTATTACTCAAGAAGCTCTTGACACAAATTCCCAAGAAGAGTTCTCAAATTCTGATCTTTTTCAAAGGTCTGGATGGTATGACCTCATTAATGTAGCTAATAAGGATAACCGTGTGGGATTATTTCCTTAAAACTGCATATTTGTATTGGAGTTTTAAAGATCAAACACCTCCTGAGGTAACTAGAATTTATCTCATTGAATGTGAAATATCTTTAAGGTCACCATTTTCAAGCTATCTTTGGTAATAGTTTTTAATCCAAGACACTTTGAGTCACAATGACATAATTCTGTTAAAAAACCTGATGAGCATTTACAAATTTGAATAACTTAGACAAATACACCCCAGGTGCTCCTTTGCATTGCAAACAACCATTTGCTAGAGTTGTAAAATATTGTGCTCGCTTCGGCAGCACATATAGAGAGTTGTAAAATATTGATGAAAATTTCGAGTTGCAAAGAAAACTGTGACAATCACGTTTGAAAAATCATTTTAAAGTTTAGCCTTCCAACGAAATATTTTTACATGCATGATTCGAAAAAAAAACTTGGTTTGTCTAAAGCTGAAGGGTAGTTTTTAATATGCCATTTATATGCAAAAAATCCAAGTGTGTCTTTAAAATAGGACGACTCTTAGCAATATCAGAATTGGAAGAAAGGCATGAGAGAAATTCCCGAATTTACTTTTTTGTATACTCTATTTCTTTGCATACTCTATCATTGTAGGAACTCAACATATATCTCTTAATATTGAATGTACAAATAATCTACTTAAGCTAATTAGGAAGCAACTAAATTATTAATTTATTTTCCAGTAGAACTTACATAATCTTAGGAGGCTAGATGAGTTCCTAGAAATGAGCTAGAACATTGTTCATTTCATCTATGAGGAAACTTGCCTAAAGTTCTATACATAGTTATTGATACAGTGAGGAATAGAACTAGTCAATAGGCTCAAAGTTCTGTTATGTTGTATCATTTTCTCATTTAAGGATATCACTAGTGTAAAACTGTCATTATTTTAATCATAGGCTACTATTTACTGTATTCAATACTATGTTTAATCTTAGAAAAATCATGTAAGAGATAGGCAATGTTCTCACTTAAAAGTTAAACAAATCAGGGATGCCTGAGTGGCTCAGTGGTTGAGCATCTGCCTTCTGCTCAGGACATGATCCCAGGGTCCTGGAATCAAGTTCTGCTTCTCCCTCTGCCTATGTATCTGCCTCTCTGTGTCTCTCATAAATAAATAAATAAAATCTTAAGGAAAAAAAGTTAAGCAAATCAGAAGTTACACAGGTAATGAGTGAGATAAAAATGAGTCAGGATCAAAAAACAGATTTATCTAATTCAAAGCCTATGGACTTTTCCATTGTATTTCATTACCTCCTCCAAAGTAACAGTTTTTAACTTCTAAATACATCTTAGTCTCAACCTGTAAGCTAAACTAGAAGACACCTGAATTAAAGTATTTCAACAATTAAAAATCTTCTTGCCTCATTTTCACTTATTCTTTCTAGTGTCAGCCATTATTAAATGATACTCTGGCTACAAAACCACTTTGTCAACTGTAAGGTATAAAAATTCAAACAAAAATTTTAAATGTCATTAGAAACAGAATCTGCAAACATAAAAGAGTATGTGTTTGGCATGGAAAAAGCTGGGTAGACTATCTCCCAAGGGTGGCATCTAATGCATATAGTATTATGGTTTATGACCTTTCAGACAACACAGAAATCATCACTCTCAAGGCTGGACTCACATTAATAAAGTTTACAAAGATTGGTCTATAAAATCAGAACTGTAAGAAAAATGGTGAAAAAAAATTTTTAATGGAAAAAAGAACACTCTATATCTGAAAAACAAGGGTGCATTCTCTCCCTGTAGACAAAATTACATGGGAAGTCAAATAACAGAAAGTTGTCTGGTGCTCATACAATCAGAACAAATGGAATGAAATGAATTAATAGTTTCATGCCTACCATTTAAAACAGACTGGTGTATTCCTTCCACAATAAGAATTATCTCTTCAATGGGACCAAAATACTTACATTCTACTGAGTAAAACTCTATTTTCTCTCTGTCATAATCACTGCCTAAGTTTTCTCAAGCAGCTCCTTGACCAAGGAATTTATGATAAACACATTACTCCTCTAGATAAGTTCATTTCTACTAGGCTACAGTAAGTTCCTTCTGGTCTGGGAGCCATTTTGTTTTTTAAGGTAATTTTACATAACTCTGTTTTGATGGAAAATAAGAGATTTCACGATTCAGAAACCAAACTTATTTCCAAGATGCCTCCAAGTAATATCATTAATAATAGTTAATATTTGGGTGATTATCTACTAGACCTTATGCATAATATTGCATATAATTTTGCCATATTCTATAAGGTAGATATTAGTTTTACATTATAAAGAAAAACACTACTTGCTCAAGGTCACACAGCTAGTAAGGAAAAGAAACAGAATTTGAATCTAGTCTGTCTGACTCCAAAGCTGATACTATTATTCACCATGGTTTTCTACAAAACACTTTTATCATTGCTATCCTATTTCTGGTTACAAGATTCCTCATCTATACATATACAGCATATGAGGGGGAAAACTGTAAGTTCCTGAGAAAACTTGGTATATAAAAGATGTACAAACAAAATTTTAATTTTTATGATATTAAAAATATCATAGGAGCACTTGCATGGCTTAGTTGGTCAAGTGGACAGCTCAGATCATGATCTTGGGGTCCTGGGACTGAGCCCCACATGGTGCTGTGTACTCAGCAGGGAGTCTGCCTGAGATTCTGCCTGCACATCCCCTTACTCTTTCTCTCTCTCGTGCTTTCAGTCTCTAAAATAAACAAATCTTTTTAAAAAAATAAAATTAAAGTAACGTAAATGCAGACCATGCTGCTATTATTAGTTTACTCATTTAACAAATATTTATTAAGTGCCTGTTGTGTGTCAATACTGTTCCAGGGGATGAAGTGTGAGGAGTAATAAAAGCAATGTCCTTCTTCATAAAGCTTACAGTTGGTTGAAGGAAAAGAGGGTGGGAGAGAAAAGGAGACAAAAAAATAAGACAAATATAAGTATATCAAATGGTGTTAAAAGCTATGGAGAAGGGGTACCTGGGTGGCTTAGTGGTTGAGCATCTGTCTTTGGCTCAGGGTGTGATTCTGGGGTCCTGGGATCGAGTCCCGCATCAGGTTCTCTGCAAGGAGTCTGCTTCTCCCTCTGCCTATATCTCTGCCTCTCTCTGTGTGTGTCTCTCATGAATAAATAAGTAAAATCTTAAAAAAAAAAAAAAAAGAGCTATGGAGAAAAATAAAGCAGGTAAAGAAGACAGAGAGTGAGGCAGGAAGAAGGAAGATGGTATTTTACAAAGTGAAGACAAGAAGGCCTGTCTGATAATGTGACATCTGAAAGAGGGGAGAAAGCAAGTTACATGAATGTGAAGGAAGACCATGTCAGGCAGGCAAGTGCCAAGGCCCCAGGACAGGCACTTACAGGAGTAAGAGTGAGAAGAAGGCCAGTAAGGCTGAAGCCAAGAGAACAGGAGGGAAAAGACTGGACTGTGATGGCTCTGGAAAGACTGCAGAGGACAAATCACACAGAGCTCTGAATAGGTAGTTAGGGGCCCACTGTAAAAGAGTCTAGAGAAACCATGGCTCAGACAAGAGTAATCACAGTAAACGTGGTAAACACTGGTCAGATTCTATATGTATTTGGAAGGCAGAATGACAGAATAAAAGAAGATTTCAATATAGAGAAGTAAACAATTCAAATACAAAATTTATTTGTTATTATGCCATATCAAGCATTCTAAAGGATGAAGTAGAAACATGAGATGACTTACGTTACTGGTCAACGTATTTATTTCCCGTTCAGCTTTATGCAATTTACTGATTAGAACAGTATTTTGTTCACTGCTTGATTGTAGCTCTTTTTCCAAGCGTTCAGCCTGTAGTTTAGCTGACTGTTTTTCAGCCTTTATTAAAAAATATTTTAAATGTACTCAAGATTTTTATATAAAAATAAATTAAGCACTATTTTAAATATATGTATAATCATACTATCCCCAGTTATTCAAAACCTGAGCAATATTAACATGTAACAAAGCAACAAGAGTTTTCTCAAAATAATTGGTAGAATTTAAATGAAAGATATTCACTCCAGAAAATATGCAACAAAAGTCTCTGGACAAATGACATTTATCAACAGCCACCAACAAAATAAAACACACACACTCCTCTCATGAAAGAGAGTATCTAATGCACTCATTTGATATCTATTTACTCTTATTGTTGGCACAATTCAAACAAACATTTCTGGGGGTTTCAATGCAGAATGTAGAAATATAAAAGTACATTAGAAAGTAGAAGAAATGGTTCATTTGTAGTAGTGAGAACTAAAAATCTGAAAATCAAGGGCGATTAAAAAAATAAAAATGAGATTTAAAAATTCAAAATCCTCAATTAATCTGGAGCCTTTAGAAGGATGAACAAAGAGCTCAAGAGCTCTTAAACCCATCATATCATATAAAGATTCTTAAGTCTATAACTTGTCAAGAAAATTTCTGGTTGGTAACATAGTACTCTTCCATTAGAAAGTGAAAACTAAAGGCTCTTTAAAAATACTTCTCCTCAAAACAGGTAAAATTAAAATGACATTTAAAGAATAAGCTTCACAGTTTTGTAAGATCTCATTTCCTATATTTCTTAAATATTCCTTAAATAGTATATTCAACAAATAACTCAGGAAAAAGCTATTTTCCTCACCTATAAAATGATACTCTTTGGGCACAACAGCCAGAAAAAAAAAAAAAAAAAAACTCAAAGAAAGAAATGCTGCTGCTTATTCCATCTGACAAATGATAAAATTAACTATAGGCTCTTTTGAAGATGTCACAAATGAGCCTCCCATCTTTCATAATCACTCAAGTCATCCTGAACATCATCTCTGAATGACCTCAATGAAAAACACTGCATCGAGATCATACACTGTATTCAGTTGCAATCATCCCACTTATTCTGTCACTATAAATACATTAAAGATGGAAGAGTAGCCACGTAACACTACCATTCTGAAGTGCCTCATGTCTAAGGTCCAATGATACAACTTTAGTTCAGGAAACCAGTAAATACTGTCAGAAACTTCATCCAAAAATAAAAAGGTGATTTCTACTCTTCAAATCACACCAATATGCTGCTCCCTTGTACCCAGTTTGTTGGCTTAAAAAAAAAAAATCACTATCTTGCTAGGCGCCCACTAATTTCCCTACAACTCTAATCATCTCACAACTATTCTAAAACACACACACAGACACACACACACACTCTGGATTGCTCAAAATAAATCCAACAATTAAAAGGATATATTTGCTACATGTTAAACACTGAGAACTAGGAAGAGTAAGCACATCTAAACAAGATGGTGAAGGGATACAGAATATGTCACTGCAACATAAAAATTATTTTGAGCTGAAGGCATTTGATAATCAATAGACACAGGAAAAGGTTTTTCCCTGAACTCCTGTTAGCTGCTGAAAAGCAGAGCCTCCAGAAAGAATTATAATTCCCCTCCCTTAGGGTTTCATAGCCAAGGAAGACTGACTCCTATTAAGGGCGAAATCAGTACCAGGATAAGCAATCACCTATACATTGTCACAAAATGGTCATATCCCCCATCTATTTTCCTAGGGGCTCATTTATCTTTCCTAAAAGTCATCTGTGTTCCCAAAAGTACCCCTTTCCCCCCTCTCCTTTCCCTATTAAGATGGTATATAAGCCCCAAATTCTAACTACCACTTGGAGCCACATTTTTCTGTTAAATCCTGTATACATACATGAACAAATATCTATATATTCTCGTTAATCTGTCTTTTGTGAGTTTAATTCACAACCCCCAAACACTGAACCTAAGAAGATGAAGAAAAAAAGTTTTCCTCTCCAACAACAGAAACGAAGAATTTTCACAGAATACCTCTAAGAGTAACAGCTTACCTCTGCCAAGTCTTATCTTCCTCTAATGAACTCAGGGAAATATTTCACTAAAGACTCATATGCATTAACACCAAGGTATATTGTATTACTCCAGAAAGAAGCTGTTGTAAGATATTAAATTATGGTATTTTTGTTTAAACAGGGCTTATGATTTTAATATCTTGAATCCCATATAAGGAAATAACTACCTAGGAAAAAATTGTTCTTTTTGGTTTAAGAGGACTTTAACCCTCCTAAACTCAAATTCTGAACATTTTGCATATTCTGCTTTCTGGCATTTCAAGGGTTAATTCATTTCAACTAGGTGTCTTGACTCTCAAAGAATAAATAATCCCTTTGTAAATGTGGTAGCACAGCTATTGCTTATGAATCAATAGCTTTCTTCTTTACAAAAAAGAATATATACTCTCGGGACTCTACAAATGCGTCAGCATTAGATTGGTAAGCATACATTTATGCTCTAAAAATCAAAGGCTTGTCAATTGCACTTTTAAAAAAGCATGCCATACTCTACCGGGAAGCAATTAAAATCTTACCTCCAGGGATCTGACTGTAGCCTGCATCTCAGCCAACTGCCGCACCTGAATTCTTTGGACATTTTCTACCTGAGCACCAGAATTCTCTTTTTCAGCCCTTAATTCTGCTACTTCAGCCTCTAAACCTTTTAATTTCTGAGACAAATGGACTTTCTCTCGAACAAGTTGCTCCATTCGTTTGCTGTCTTTTGTGGGATCAACACTAAGCAGCTGATTATGTATTTCTTCTTTATCTTTCTCCAGTCTTGCAATCTGGTAATAATTTGAAAGAAAGCACAGAACCTTAAATTATTGAATTTTCAGTCATGAATATGCTTTACAAGTCAGTAAATTAAAATTTTAAAATACACAATATGAAAAAGAAAGCTCAGGTGGTGAAATTAAGAACAAAGGAAAAAAACCTAAAACGTCACCTTCTTCATTCTGCACTCAGAATGACTCAAATGTGAGGGCAAGGACCTTGGCCTATTTTACTCTATCTCCCCATATCGTCTAGAACAGGGCTTCACCAGTTGCTGACTGAAATTCAAAATTACAAATAATACTATAAAATACTTAAAAATGTGTCAAGTATTTTACAGTTCATCAGAACATTATAGGGGTTTATGCAAGATCAATATTGCTGATTGTTGCTAAGCTTTTCCTCATGTGACAATAATTCTTGGGCTATGTCTATCCTAATAAAATTATCTATTCCAAGCCACTTAATTCACAAAATAGCTGCTTGTCTGTGTAAATAACTACAAATGTGACTGATGAGAGTTTTTAAATGATAGCTGGGAGTTTATTAAGGGCTTAGTTGCACTAATAGCCTCATTCTTACTTCACAGATTCAAGAAAGAACTAAAAATCTGTACTCCAGGGTATGTGGAAGTCAACGGGGGAATCTGATGAACAGAAACACAAGTGATCTTCTCATTCATACCAACCACCACTGCGAGATCCCACAGGACTCCAAATCTGAGTTTCAAATTGCTTCCTAACCTCAGAGGCATTCTCTGGAGGGAACCTCACCTCCACGAATGAGAGGCCCACATTATCAGAGTAAAACTCATCCTCTCCCTTTTCAGATCTCCCCAACCACCACCACTACCCATGTCTTTGCTAACCAGGGCAGCTCCTCTTTGAGCCTCTTTTTATATATGGGGTTTTTTCATAGGATTCAACTTAAAGATTCAGCTGTTTGAAGAAAAAAAAAAATCACTGGTCTTAACAACTAACCAGGATGAGCTTAGGAGGATCACTCTAAGCCAAAAGGACTTAAAGTAATGCTCTGCAATCTAGGCAAAAGTGACCCAAGAGATGAATGATGGCTCAAACTACTATAAATGAATCTAAGAAGGGTGAGATCTCCACCTTAGTGCAGAATCTGTTTTCCTCATCTGTAAAATGAGAGGTTAGACTGGAGGCCCTCAAAACTCATTTTCAGTTTTAACATGTAGTGATTCCAATTTGGTTTTAGCCATGTTGAACTGAAGAGGTCAATGAGAAATGTAGGTAGAGCTATCTATCTAGCAGACAAATAGCATTTTTTTCCAGAAAATAAAATTCACTATAGAAGGCAGCTATAAAAGTCGGTGTCAAGTTCAACTAATTAGTGTCTATTTTTCCTCTCACTCTTTACATATAAACACTACCCTCAGGTTTGGTCCCTGACTACCATTTTTCCCTCCATATTCTCTTTCCTTCAAATAGCTGTGTGACTTTGTCCAAGTTATTATTTTCACTTTGGCACTAGGTAAAATTAAGGTCTCAGGCTGGATATCTTTAAAATGCCATTTAACTTTTTGCATGAGGAGCTCATAGTTTTAATGTGCTATATTCCAAGTGTGGTTGCTCATCTAGGTCAGGAGTCCACGTGTCACTCAAGTTCAGACAATAGTGTCCTTTACTGAGTACTATCGACCAAGTGCTTAGCTAAGTACACTAGAAATAAAATTGCATTTAGTAACAATAATCTCTCTTGTCCTCTTCATTTTACATATAGGGTCAGACAGCTAATGTTCTTGACCAGTATGTTTCCTGTATTATTGCTCTCTCCAGTAGTTTGAGAGCTATCTGTGGGACAGCCAGCGTGACAGCTGAAACAATGGTCAGAGCTGGCAAAGAGCATAGTCAAGATTAGATGCCACCCTTCTAACTGTCAAACTACAGCTTGCTATCCAATTATTCCTATAATATCTGATTACTGCCTTTTCATTTCTCTGTTTACTCACTTGTGTAACAAATATTGACTATTATGTATCCAGCACTGTACTAAGGTAGTAAGGCTATACTACAGAACCTAGCAGACAAGCAAATAATCACAAAACCTGTGCTATCAAAGAACTTCTATTTAACCACTACTATGACACTGCTCTTGCACCACTTAACAGGACACAGATCTTGGACACATCCTCAGCTATTCCCTTTTCCTCCACTCTCAATCAGATTCATATGCAATCTCCCTTGATACCCATAATTTGTTGTTCTCTCAAACCCTTTCTCTAAATTTCCCAAAGGCTTTGTCTGAATTTCTTTTATGACATTTATCCAAATTTGACTGTATTACACTTACCTCTATATTTACTTTATTCTCTTCTAGAATATAAGCTTACCTGACAGGAAACATGATGTATTAACCAATTTTACTTTTAAAAAATTGTTGAAGGAAACACTATAAACAAGAAACAGATCCAGTACTAGGAATAGTTGTTGTCTATCTTTTCAAAGAATGGTAGTACCATTCTAACTCCCCAGGCACACAAAAGGAGAAAGTGGTGTATGTAATTACTCCATCCATCTCTGTTTTTATCATCTTTATGATGCAGCATAGAAAAATGGTTAAGAGCACAGGTTCTGGAATCAAACAGCCTAAGTTTTTAATGCTGTTTTTGTTGTCTTTAGTATTTTAAAGATATTTCTCTACTGTCTTTGGGCTTTTATTACTTCAAAAAGGAAGTCTGTCATCATTCTTACCTTTGTTCTTCTGTAGAAAATAACTTACTTTTACTTTTTTACTTTTTTTAAAGATTTATTTATTTATTTTAGAGAGAGACAGCAGGAGGGGCAGTAAGAGAGGGAGAGAGAATCTCAAGCAGACTCCACACGGAGCATGGAGCCCGATGTAGGGCTCCATCTCACGACCCTGAGATCACAACCTGAGCTGAAACCAAGAGTCAGACACTCAACAGAGTCACCTAGGTCCCCTTATCTATTTTTTTTAAATTAAACTTTGTCAATGATTGTAGGTTCACATGCAATTGTAAAAAATAATTTAAAGTGTTTCTGTGTATTTTTTATCCTGTTTCCTCAACTGGTCATATCGCTCCTCTTCTATTTTCTGGAAGACATTGTATAGAACTGGTTTTCATTCCTCTTTAAACACTTCATGGAATTCTCCAGTGACATCATTCTTTTGGTGAGTTTTTTTTTTTTAATTTTTTGGTGAGTTTTTTAATATGAATTTAGTTTTCTTAATTGTTATATGGCTATTCACATTATTTATTTCATATGTAGTTAGACACAATAGTATCTGCCTTTTGATCCATTTCATCTATTTTTATCAAATTTGTTTGGGTAGAGCTGTTCTTCAGATTACCTTATTACCCTTTTGATGTCTACAAGATCTGGAGTGATACGGTTTCATTCTTGATACAAGTAATTTGTTTCTTCCCTCTTTTCTGCAAGTCTTGCTAGAGGTTTGTCAATTTTATTAATCCTTTCAAATAAAACCTCTTTGCTTCACTGATTTTCTCTATTGTTTTTCTGTTTTCAATTTCGTTGATTTTTACTCTTATTTTTCTTATTTCCTTCCCTCTACTTACTTTGGGTTTATTTTGATCCTCTTTTTCTAGGTTCTTAAGGTAGGACCTTAGATTATTAATTTGATCTTTTTCTCCTCTTTTCTAATGAATGCATTTAGTGCTATACATTTTCTCTCAGCACTGCTTTAGCTATATCTCAAATATTTTAGCATATTACATTTTCATCCAGGCTAATGGAGTTTTTTTTTAATTATTTTTTTATTAATATATTTTTATTGAAATTTCCTCTGACTCATGAATTACTTGGTGTGTGTCATTTCATTTCCAATTATTTGAGGATTTCCCTATCTTTCTGATATTGATTTCTAGTTTGATTCTGTTGTGGTTAGAGAACTCACTCTATATAATCTCAATTTTTATAAATTTGTGGAGGTTTATTTTATGGACCAGGATATACCCTGTTTTGGTATATATTCAGGGGCCACTTGAAAAAAATGTGTTTAGGTACTGTTGTTGGGTAGAGTGTTCTATAAATGTTGATTAGATTCTGATGGTTAATGGTGTTGTTTTTCTGTTTTTCTAGATCTTTTCTGTTTTTCTAGTTTTTCTATCAATTGTTGAAATAAGAGTGCCAAAACTCCAACAATTATGGATTCATCTATTTCTCCTTTTAGTTCTATCAATTTTTGCTTCACATATTTTACAGTTCTGTTTAGTTCACATGCATTTATGAATGTCCGTTCCTGACAGACTAACATTTTTCATTATTACATAATCTTCACCTCTGGTAGTTTTCTTTACTCTCAAGTCTACTTTGTCTGATAGTAATATAGCCACGTCTGCTTCTTCTAATATTTGAATATTTACGAGACATATCTTTTTCTGTCCTTTCGCTGCCTATACTGTTATATTTGAAGTTTCCCATAGACAACATACAGTTGGGTCTTTCGTTTTTAAAATCAACTCTGCAGGGGTGCTTGGGTGGCTCAGTCAGTTAAGCATCCAACTCTTGATTTTGGCTCAGGTCATGATCTGAGTCGTGAGATCCAGCCCCGTGTTCGGGATTCTCTCTCTTCCTCTGCCTCTCTCCCCACTCACTCTTTCTCCAAAAAATAAATTTTTTTAAAGACAAAATCAACTCTGCAAATTTCTTTTGTTATATTTAGACTCTTTGCCTTTATTATGAGTATGTTATGGCTTAAGTTTTTCTTTTCCTATTTCTTGTTCTGTTTGTTTCCTTTCTTCTTGCCTTTCTGTGAGCTCCTTAAACATTTTTTTAGGATTCTATTTGATTTACCTATATTTGTCTGTATCTATATCTTTGTACAGCTTTCTTAGTTGTTGCTCCAGGCATTATATATACATACCTTATTACCGTCTACAGGGTTCATTTTACCAATTCAAGTGATAGTTAGAAACTTTCTCTCTCCTTATATCCTTTTGCCCTTGTTTATAATTGTCTTAATTACCTCCACTATTTAAAACCACATCATTTTACAGATTTAT